CCGGACACCCGTCTCAGAAGGTCTTTGTTGGTCCACTCAAAACCGCTCTAACTGGTCTCGTCAAGAGGTGAAAGTTTTGAACAAAATATGGCCATTCCAGGTCGAATGTGCTGTCCAAACGAGATGGTCCCAGGCAGTATGACCTTTAGAAAATTAGTAGCTGTCCTACCATCGGACCAGATTTTGTCCAAAAAAGCATACATGCACATCAGCGACACCCAGAAGTAGGACCCTACTAATGAAAAACCAATTAAGGTCCGAAGAACTTCGTTGTGGCCTCGAAGAGTTCGTTCAGGAAGAAGGCGCGATGGTTCGGGCCAAAATTCTTTGCATTGCGAAATAGGTTGTCCATGGTCAATCAAGTTTAAAGTATCATTCATACGTATGTCACCCCAAACTCAAAGTCTTGGTTTTGATTTCCGATTCGGAGTGAAAATACCAAGTGTGTTGCCCTCGAAAACCACTGAGATGCCAAAAATGCCACCAAACTGGTGGAACGATGCACTTCAAAATGAGATTTCTATCGTACAACCACCCAGCCTACTGAAATGATATTGCGGGATGGTTACATATGCAGCAAAGTATGAAACACCGCCTGTACTAGTTGCATAGTTGAACCGTAGCAGACATATCTTTCGGTCCCAAGTGGCCCTCCTAGGTCGTACCGATTGAATTCAAACGCGCCGATCTCTTTCAGGGAAAGATATCTAGTAGTAAAGAATATGATCTTTGATGAATTTCCATAGGTTTCAGGGTAACTCTTAACAAGTTGGGTAATGAATCAACGAGGGACTAGAATATTCAGTAGGAACGGAAAGCAGGCTGTCATAGAAATCGCAGCAAACCATGTGAGAACGCATGTCGAAAGCGTTCCGTACTTTTTGTTCGTTTGTTCACCGGACACCCGTCTCAGAAGGTCTTTGTTCCGTACTTTTTGTTCGTTTGTTTCTGAATGTTCTGTCTTACGTAACATGGACCAAATGTGAGTATCGTCCGGTTGGCCCGAAAACTTAATCGATGACGAAGACGATAATAAACGGAAAGAATTCAGCCAATACACTTAACAGGTACCACATTGTTGATGCCAGTCACCAAACTTCAAGACAAACCAAACAGCGTACTTTGGTGAAGGCAGTATCACCAGATATGGTTGAATCTGGAGACCAGCTTCGCTCTCCAGTCGTGTGAGCTGTTGATATGGTGGGGAGACAAGGGGTGGGATCTTGAAGAAGCGGTTTTTGGGGTTGGGTCCTTGCCGATAGGTCGGAATCGGCGATCCATGAGTCCAGAACAGATACCGAGAGGATGCGTTGAACAAAGTTTGCGAAGAGGACGCAAACGACGTTCAGTTTACCAAACAGGCTGAGCAAGTCCGGACTGGTCAATAAACAGTCGTCCATACAGACTTCTAAACAGTACAAGTGAGCGTCCAGCAAAGCATCCAGATTGGAAACCTGTGCAAGAAAGGAGTTTGAGGTCACGAAATTAAGGCGGAATTACAAACTGTGCGAGAAAGGTTCATTGATAGACAACAGAACGTTACAAGGTCACTTCCTCTGCTAAGTTCGCACTGGCAGTAGGCCCAAAACGATCTGTACTGCAGGCCGGTAGCTGTATGTAAACTGTATATAGATCCAGAAATGGACTAAATTACGACTCAGTGACGGACGGGCTGGGGAAATCTGGTAGAGACATGTATGGTTTGGGTTGTTTGTACACTACGACCGACGCACCTGATCTGACAGCTGGGATTGCCCAAAGCAACGAGGTGACCGCATACTTTTGTTTCTAACGAAGTGGGGAACTTTCGTTTGTGCAGTGAACAACGGGCGTGACGTGCACCAAGTTAATTTCGGCTTACCCAAGTCCGAAAGGACAGAGTAAAGGGCGTGGCGAAAGACAGGGAAACTGACCTTATCTATTTGGTTGTAAAAGTGATCCCACGTTGGTTCGATAACTTCCACCGCCATATAGTACTGAAAGTGTTGAATGAACGTGAGCATTCGCTGACCCAAAAGAAATGCCGTGGTAAGCCAGGTAGATTTCATGCAGTCCACTCTTCGAGCCAGCTTTCCCAAAACCCAACCGCTGAAAACAAAGTTTGCATACCCGAATTAGGAGTTGCGGACGCGTAAGTCCCCAAAACCAGTGAACATGCAATGCAAAACAGACTCACCTGCAGAGGCGTCTTTCCACGTGCTTACAATAGAACATGTGGCGAAACAGCATTTGGTATCGGTCCATCACTTGGCGATTCAGTACCAAACTGACGGGCCATGCGACACTGTAGTCCACAGAAAACGCTTCCAAGGCGGTCAGGTTGAGGTCTTCTATGGGAGTTGAGTCTACCGGTAGAATCCAGAGGGTGAATGGATTTTTATACGCTTCCGTGTTGCATGTGACAAGAATTTAGCTAATCTATATTAGAGCTGCAGAAGTGTCACCAGAATAAGCCTAGTCTATAAATGATAGTGGAGTTGTGCTAACGACATATCCCCATAAAGCACATTATTTGTATCAGAAACGAGCAGGAAAGATATAGAACGATCCCTTATTATAGAGACTGCCTACATTTAGGAATTTGCGTGGAGTAAAAATTGCTCGTATGATTGCACCCACCGTGACAGTACTTGTAAGGAACAATACGAACGTCTTCTCTCATTAAATATATTGTGAGCTGCGTGACTGCCCTCGTTCTCCATGGTTCTCCTTTTCCACAGATCCATAAGGCGTGACTACGAAGTACATTTCACGCTGAGGAAGACAATCCACAGTGACTCGGTAAGGCTTACTTCGTAGGTAATCCAGTGCAGAATCAGTTAGACATGATTTACTTATTCGGCTTGATACGCAACAGCTAGTCAGACAGCTTTCCGGGACATGCTAAATTCCTTCGCCTCTTGGAGTCTTGGAGTGCAAACAGAAGTCACCAGAACTATATCACATTTTTACTGGCCATCTCAGCATAGCGAAACAACCCGAGTATCACTACCGGACACCCGTCTCAGAAGGTCTTTGTTCCGTACTTTTTGTTCGTTTGTTTCTGAATGTTCTGTCTTACGTAACATGGACCAAATGTGAGTATCGTCCGGTTGGCCCGAAAACTTAATCGATGACGAAGACGATAATAAACGGAAAGAATTCAGCCAATACACTTAACAGGTACCACATTGTTGATGCCAGTCACCAAACTTAAAGACAAACCAAACAGCGTACTTTGGTGAAGGCAGTATCACCAGATATGGTTGAATCTGGAGACCAGCTTCGCTCTCCAGTCGTGTGAGCTGTTGATATGGTGGGGAGACAAGGGGTGGGATCTTGAAGAAGCGGTTTTTGGGGTTGGGTCCTTGCCGATAGGTCGGAATCGGCGATCCATGAGTCCAGAACAGATACCGAGAGGATGCGTTGAACAAAGTTTGCGAAGAGGACGCAAACGACGTTCAGTTTACCAAACAGGCTGAGCAAGTCCGGACTGGTCAATAAACAGTCGTCCATACAGACTTCTAAACAGTACAAGTGAGCGTCCAGCAAAGCATCCAGATTGGAAACCTGTGCAAGAAAGGAGTTTGAGGTCACGAAATTAAGGCGGAATTACAAACTGTGCGAGAAAGGTTCATTGATAGACAACAGAACGTTACAAGGTCACTTCCTCTGCTAAGTTCGCACTGGCAGTAGGCCCAAAACGATCTGTACTGCAGGCCGGTAGCTGTATGTAAACTGTATATAGATCCAGAAATGGACTAAATTACGACTCAGTGATGGGCGGTCTGGAGAAATCTGGTAGAGACATGTATGGTTTGGGTTGTTTGTACACTACGACCGACGCACCTGATCTGACAGCTGGGATTGCCCAAAGCAACGAGGTGACCGCATACTTTTGTTTCTAACGAAGTGGGGAACTTTCGTTTGTGCAGTGAACAACGGGCGTGACGTGCACCAAGTTAATTTCGGCTTACCCAAGTCCGAAAGGACAGAGTAAAGGGCGTGGCGAAAGACAGGGAAACTGACCTTATCTATTTGGTTGTAAAAGTGATCCCACGTTGGTTCGATAACTTCCACCGCCATATAGTACTGAAAGTGTTGAATGAACGTGAGCATTCGCTGACCCAAAAGAAATGCCGTGGTAAGCCAGGTAGATTTCATGCAGTCCACTCTTCGAGCCAGCTTTCCCAAAACCCAACCGCTGAAAACAAAGTTTGCATACCCGAATTAGGAGTTGCGGACGCGTAAGTCCCCAAAACCAGTGAACATGCAATGCAAAACAGACTCACCTGCAGAGGCGTCTTTCCACGTGCTTACAATAGAACATGTGGCGAAACAGCATTTGGTATCGGTCCATCACTTGGCGATTCAGTACCAAACTGACGGGCCATGCGACACTGTAGTCCACAGAAAACGCTTCCAATCAGGTCAGGTTGAGGTCTTCTATGGGAGTTGAGTCTACCGGTAGAATCCAGAGGGTGAATGGATTTTTATACGCTTCCGTGTTGGACAAGAATTTAATTTAGCTAATCTATATTAGAGCTGCAGAAGTGTCACCAGAATAAGCCTAGTCTATAAATGATAGTGGAGTTGTGCTAACGACATATCCCCATAAAGCACATTATTTGTATCAGAAACGAGCAGGAAAGATATGGAACGATCCCTTATTATAGAGACTGCCTACATTTAGGAATTTGCGTGCTTGCTGAATCGCGACTCTGCTTCGTGAGCTAACTGGCATAATCACGATAACGCACCGCTAACGGCGTGATCCGAACCAGATCGAGTGAGTACCTTGAGTTTGAAGTTAACGACCGTTCGGTTGTATTCACGAGGTTGAGGAAATAAAGCTATATAGGACTCAACACCGTAAACACAGGCATCAATAGGAGAAACAGGTATCCCTAACAAAGTTGGGTCAGAGAAAGGGGCGGAGAACTACGTATCGTTACTGCCGCCAGTTGGGGCAGCGATCCTTAGGCGCTAGAAGTCACACATAACCGAGTGGTGTCAGTATGGGCCGAGTGAGAACCGTTTAGCCAGCGGATGAATGTCCACCACTGAAAATACAGGGTCATTTGGTGCTAATGTGCTGCAAACGAACAACAGTCAACTTACCCTGGTGGGTATCGGATCCGGCCTGTAGAACCATCAGAATCTGAGAGATCAGGTCGTATTTATAGAGTACGACTCTGAAAAACAAGTCAACACGTATTGGGAAGAATTCAATGGACAACATAATCCCATTATTGACAAAAAATTTCTCATGAACGTCCGATTGTCCTAACGAATACGATCCTATAAAGCTACTAGTAGCTTCCATTCATTACTGTGGGGAAACAACCCCAACCCGTGATGTAAGAAAAAGAGACGACGCTGAAAACCAGTACGACTGAAGGCAACGGAACGAGGATGTATCACTCGGATGAATGCGAGCTTTCCGAGCTGAATTAGATTGAGACACACTAGAGTCAATGGTGACGTTTGAACTAGGGGAACGAGCAGTACTTCGAGCTTTCGTGCGTACCGACCGATTCTTAGGAATATGGGAAAAACACTGATGATATGAGCAAAAATCATTGCTGTCGATAGGCGATCGTCTCCAAACTGAGTGAAGATTTTGGACGCCTTTGATGCAAAATGTTAGAAGTAGAAACTAGTGCACTATTTCGAAAATGCTATGTAGCTTTTATCAGAAGACAAATGACTGAGATCACACTCAAAAGTACTGTATCGGTTTGCTAAATGGGTTAGCTCCTGTTCATTTGTTACCAAATGATCATCGTCCGTATAACTGAGACTTCATGAACTTGATATGATACAAGGGAACGACGCAGAAGTCGTTACTGCCTAATCAGAACAAAAAAATCAAGCGCAGTAAATATGAAAGTTGTGGCGATCACCGTTCTGTGTTGAAAGACAGTAGTCAATGTAGTCTTTCACACAGGTGGTTCGCTTAGTTGGCTAAATCACTTATTGGATGATGCCATACGAAGCAGGTAACAGGTTCATGCGTCGCAAATACCCTAGCGGATTTTTCGTCTCGTGCTGCTGCGCTTACGTTCCACTTCGGGAAATTCGGTGCAAAGGGTAATTTAACATCTCCGCTCATGAAACAAGTGCGCCTCAGTAAATAGGTAGTGTGCTGGAGAACCTCTATGCGTGCATGAAAGTTCCACCGAACATGCCTAAACTAAAATCCCACTGTTATGCAGTGCCACAATAATCGATATACCATCGTAACAGTGTCAGACCGCCACTGGGATATCCATCCCGCTCATGTCTGTCACCAGCACGGAGTATGTGCTCTCATTGTGCCCAGAATAAAATCACGAGCTCCAGTGGACACAGACAAATCAGCAATCATGAATCGGCCGATCCGTGTAATCGGTGAACGGAGAAAATAGGGTGCGAATCAAGGTTTGGGCATCAAACACACAACACAATCGATGTAGGGTTGGTCAGTCATATCAGTTGGGATTCATTGACGGGATAAAGGACATCCGAAAGGCAACGGGTTCAGGAACGATCAACAGCACCGGTTACCGATGTACACACACGACTGGGGCAACAGGAACTATGGTTAAGGGACCACTCTAACATGCCTTCCCTCAAAGTGAGTTCATTTCGGATGAGGACTGTTATATCTGCACAGTAATTTGAGTAAATCTCAGTGCGGAAAACACAGGCGAAGAGTCAGTTCCGTTTTAATCCGATTCTGTTAGGCTACCAGATGCGCTCCTCTGAACACGATAATTGAAAGTGACATGAATTAAAAATGTCTATAGGTGCATAGGAACTCCTGCCCCAACGATGGTTATTCGGCATTGTGCATGCGTTTCCTCCTTGTACGGTAGTTCCGGTAAATGTAGAACCGAATCTGCAGCCAGATTCCATCCGAATCTCAAGAAGTCGGGCTACAAAAAAAAGCCGAATTCAGTGCCTCCAAGAATTAATCATTCCTAAACCATATCCGGTTACATTGTATTCATGTAGTGTCTAAAGAATTTCAAATCGAGAGCCCTTCATGGGGACGCCCCCAGCTGGGAAGATGAATTAACAGTTTGCTTTGACACGACCCGAGATATAATCTCACCGAAGAGAAGTTAAATACCATATTTTGTGTGGTAATGTCCCTTTGAGGGATTTTATGTTGTTCAAACAAGACGGCATGCAGAAAACAATGTTTTGGTAGATCACCTTTGAAGAGCTTATTCCGTCAAGGAACAAACAAAACGCCCCGATTCTACTGCAGGAGGGCCATGTTTCCCCTCGACAGCAACCTCTTGCAAACGCCGAACTACTCTGCTCAGCCCCGGAGGTGTTCGCCCTACGTAGTTGGGGCCAGGTGAACTATCTCCTGTGTCCTTTCGGTAATATGTTGAGAGCAAGAGAGCTGATATACTGCGATTCATGCGTTTGTGTTGGGCCTCGATGCTGCTTGTTAACGGGATACGGTAGCCGAAGAGTTGAAACAAGATGCGCTGTTCTCAACAGTTTAGAGCTCGAATATAAATGGCAGAAGCCAAGTGAACTCCAAGGACGAACAAACTCACTCACTTGAGGTTATCTTTGAAGGGATCAACTGTTGCGGAACTGGTACGAATCGCGATTTCCAAAAGTGAACCCAATCGTAGCAGTGAGACTTCTGTAACCAGAACCAAATATATTGTAGGTAGTGATAGAGAGGTACAGAAATTATAAGCACACTCCGTCCGCACCCAGCAAAGCGGAAAGACAGAAAGGTTGCTCCTCGTGAGGCAGCAGGAACAAAACAAACTTACCGGTGCTGAGTTGGCACAATTCGGTGGCAGCAGCATCCATGAAATGAACGATGAAGTCCGCCTTGTCCAACAAGAAGTATCTTTTGATCGAGCTGGAATCGAGGAGATTGAATGATGTGAAGTGCGTTCAACAGTTCACAGAAAGTACACGACAAAAACATCTATTGGGTTGTGTAGTCTTTGGAAAGCTGCTCACACAGGTGTTTGAATGAAAACCCATAAAAGTGGGCGAAAACTGTCTCATTAGAAAGATTAAACTAGGCGGCTGGTTTCAATTCCCCCACCCAACTAGCTCATCAGGCGTATCGCCACACTGGACATATTGCCAGTGACTGACTCACTCCCCAAGAACCCACGACAGTGAACTGGATTCACTGATCGACAGTCATTTCAAACGGTTGGCATCAATCCCACTTCTCGTACAAGCCTGCAACACCGAATAACTCCTTTCGACTGTGCTTAACTTGGACGGTAACTTGGCCCAAGAAACACCCAAAGCTTGGAGTGTGATGCGAAATAGAATACCGGAAACTCAAAGTACTCAGCTGGTGTTTGGACTCGTTGGACAGCAAACGGACAACAAGTCTTAAAGTTTGCACACCTGTATCCACGCGTGCTAACTCATACCAGATAAGTTACACAGCAAACTTACTACTGAACTGGATGTGATCAGTAGGTAGTCTTGCTAACAGGAGCTCGAAATACCCCGGTGGTTAAGGCGCGAACTTACTTACCGGAAGACCCGAGCTTCGAACCCAACCTCGACATCTAGACTGTTCATGTCAGGGCTCTCGTGCTTGGCGTAGTAGCTTGGCACCGAAAGAGTGTTACAGCTGATCGATTGGTTAGGAAATGGAAGACTGCAGAAGTCATAGGTGCACCTTCCCAATTAGTAGACTGATGTTTGTGAAACCCACTCCTTTTATCACAGTAGTACAGGCCTGTGGTACCCCTTATTGGGTTCCATACGAAAATAACAGTGTTAAACCTTTTAACCGAGAGATATCGTATACTACTATCTAGCCCGAATAGTAACATAAAAAAAATCGAAAATGAAGAAACGCACCTCAAGTGCTCCTTTAGCTGGTTTTCTTTGACCATCAGTTTTAGTAATAGGCTGCTTGCGTACAAATGCGCCCGTTCAATTTGATCCAAATAGGCCGAATCTGCTTCGTCATATTCTAGCGTTTGTAATGGGGGCAATTCATAAGCATCCGCTAAACAGGTGGAAAAGTTGAAAAAAAATATGCACGTGATCTTGCAAGGAATCAAATGGAAGAAGTCGCATTATAACAACAAAAAGTCCCTCTCGAAGGTTCTACACGACTTAGCTCCACCTTCGTAAACACTCTAGTTCGTTAGATACAGTTGTCTCCTTTCCAGTGGACCATGTGAGGGGACCGACCGAGAGTGGCACCTTCTGAAAACGCTTTCCCTAAATGGGTACTATTATACCGTGTGATTCCGCTCCGCAGGACATACCAGTAGTCGCAAGATACTGAACTCAATAATCCACATCATGGAAAAAAAGCAGCAAAGTCTGCACCCCCGAAAATGTCTCCTCCCCGAAGTGACCGAGTTACTGCAGTTGATGGTGCTGGATGTTTTCCGTGACTGAAGTACCCAATCACACAACCAAATGCCCGCCTTCTAATTAACTCGCCACATAATTGTTAACGCCGTCCCGCAAGAGCAAGATTCTGAGAAACTGATAGAAAAAAGCCTCGAAACCGTACAACAATGCAGCCCTTACCGTAGTTTCGTACATACGACCCTTAAGACTAAGTAATATGCCTTTTTGGTGCCATAAGTGACGCAAATCAAATTGGTAATTTGTTGGAATATTGGTAGCTCGGGTGTATTGGTTGGTAATTGATCAGGTGGCTGTTGATCTGTTCGCCGAGCTTGGCAATTGATTTGCAAACGTTTCGTCACCATTCAAGGAGACATCTTCAGTGCGCTGTTGGTTGGGTCCAACCAACAGATCAACAGCCACCTGATCAATTACCAAGCAAATCAAATTATCAAACGTGATCCGGGTCTCGTGCACTGAGTTCATTACACTTCCATTAGAACTAATACAAATTATACACAATCTCCAGTGGTTCTCCTTGAATTGCAAGAGATCTGCTCAGAGATTGCACGTTATGAAGTATGACTTTGGACTTTGAATATGAAAGGTGCATACCGAAGGATGATATATATGAAGGTGGTCAGTCTTGTCAACAGTGGTTGTGATTAGCCTTCGTCTTCAAACATGAGGATGATGTTGTCTGCGACAAGCTTCGAACATGTCCATGCATTCACTCCATTAGTTCACCGACGACGAAGTTGAACAAGAATAGAGAGAATGGACATTCTTATCGGACACCATTTTTTGTAGGGAAGCTTCGGAAAGCTCACCACACACTGAGGTATATGAATATAGGGATTATGTTCACAAACGTCTGGGGTATATCTTTTTGGCCATGTGAAGTCAGAACTACCGAACGGTGGACAGAATCGAACGCACAAATCGAACCTAGCGACTTTTAGTAAGGGACATGACAGGCCGCGTCAATGGTCCAATTCGTCAAAAGGTAAAGAAAGTAATTGGTTTGCTCTTAAGGCGTCAAGTGTGTGATCACTAGCATTACCGGTCCGACTCGCTTTTAAGCTCATCTTACAAGCGTATCACGTGATCGGTTTCGAACAGACACGACCCACACAGAACTCTGGGTATCACTTATGGAGGGATTTGCGCCCACAGTGTCACTCCTTCATAGCGTATTGGATGAAATTCCTTTGGGTTCGCAACTTTAACTAAAAAGTTCATGCGTATTCAGTGAATACCTGAAGACCAGTAGACCTATTCCAAATTTAAAGATTTTCAGTTGAAAACGCACGCCATACAACAGAATGGCACAAAAGAATGATCATGTGAGCCCGCAACACATAGTAGGATCGATAGCAAATGACCCAAGACTCCAAACGAACACACATACACACGGTTGAATTAGTACAGTGGTAATGGACTCAGCTAGTATTCAGAGTTATGTGAATGGTTTTCAGCTAAATGCGTGACACGCAATTTACTGAAGAAAAAGCACACTTGTTACAAAATCGATGTTTAACGAAGCCTATGAAGGGCCTCAGGCCAGAACTTACCACTGTTCAAACGTTTACCGGATAACTCCGACTCTTGTCACTTTCAATTCCAAGCCAGCAAATCTGCTGACCAAAACAGATCCATTTAGTTGCCCCTGTAAAAAGTGTCCCAGTCAAAAACTAACAAAACCGCCGATTAGCTGGCGTATTCAAAACAGATGGACCAAGTGGTTAGAGCGCGAATTTACTGACCGGAAGGTCCGTGGTTCGACCCCCACCTTTGCCTCAACTTCCCCTGTCTACGCTTGGGCAACCTGACAATATCCCAGCCCTCGTGCTTCCTTCTGGTGGCGTGGCAGTTAGGCACCAAAGGGGTGTCACAGCTGAACAATTTATTTATTTGTTTTCCAAAACAGACCAAGGAAATCGTTTGATCGCACTCACAAAGATCGTTCAAAATGTCTAGATGTGACAAAGTTTATATCACATCAGCGTGAAAGAGTTCCGTGATAAAACAGCTCTACCGAGGGGGCAGAATGATATCCTTCGAATTTTTTTTATCGAAAGCCGTGGCTGATAGAAAGAAGTCTACTCACCACACTGTTGCACGACGTTCAAATACTTCCCCGCGTTCAGAATTTTTGCCAGATGGGATCCCAGAAAGACGGGTAGGTTGTGAGAGACAATTGTGTAGTGCTGTTCCCAGAAGAACGTCCAATCGATAGCCTCGTTTGCCAGCCGATCCAGCTGATTCGGAACCTCGTTGAGAGTACGGCCATTTTGCAAGAAGTCAGGCATAGGGCCTGCAGCAATAAAAAACTGCATTGGAATAAGAAGAAAGAAAATTAGTAGGTATCATGGCAACAGAAAAGTGCACTGGGGACTCTGGAAGACGTTTTACTCTTAAAAAAATAAGCTACCCCAAACTTGAACGATGAAAGGAGGACAGTGTAGCTGCGGGACGGGTTCAATTCGTGCATGATAGTCGGTCAAATTGTGTAGAAAATGGCTCTATAACAGAATATAACTCACAATAAGTTTCTGAGATAAGTTCCACATAACCTGACGTGATCGACAGAACCACGGTTGTCTCAGGGTCACGCTCGTGTCCCTGTGAGCTCATAACAACGATTCCCGTCAAAAATAAGCTACCCCAAACTTGAACGATGAAAGGAGGACAGTGTAGCTGCGGGACGGGTTCAATTCGTGCATGATAGTCGGTCAAATTGTGTAGAAAATGGCTCTATAACAGAATATAACTCACAATAAGTTTCTGAGATAAGTTCCACATAACCTGACGTGATCGACAGAACCACGGTTGTCTCAGGGTCACGCTCGTGTCCCTGTGAGCTCATAACAACGATTCCCGTCGACCCAACGCTTCACAGCTTCGGCCACTTTGACTGATTGGACCCAGGAGTTTCAAGAAGGTCAGATTTGTGCTTGGTTGAATTCGTAGTCGGTGGGCTGAACTCGTTACCGGGTAAAACTAAATTAAGGCCCGCGTCACCAAGTAGTGTACGAATATATCTAGGTAAATGCTCCTTGATAAATTGTTCTTTAAGTTCAGTCGATATACGTACCAGGGGAGCTAACCGTAAAACCAGTTAGTTCACGCCAATCATGAAAAAACTGCACATCCAGTAGTTGGAGCAGGACAATACCCAGCGGAGAACACACCATGAGGAACCAGTGCGGAAAATTTCTTATCAGCGGAAGGTCTAGGACCTACTTCATGATATGTATCCGAAATCACTCCTCGATAGATCCATTTTTGAAGGATTTCAAAGAACGGTACAGATGCCTGAAATAGAAGAATGAATTTGTAGCGTTCAGGAAAACAACAGTCCACAACATGGCATGATATTCGGAAGAACATCCCCGGTTGAGAACTGAGTGCTATCTAGTGCTAACTAGTCGGCTCCCAAAGTACAAAGCTTTTGCAGCTTTCAGACACCTACATGAAACGCCATTCTTACTAGAAACCAGATGACGGACGAGCTGAGGTTAGCGTTATCAGGATACGACATGATAATGAAGTTTCCTCAAAGCCTAACCCAACCGATTACTCTCGGTACGACCACCCCAACTACTACGAAGAGTACGTTCTCAGTAGGGTGTGTCATAGAGGATTCCTTGATTCAAGCGTAGCCGCAAACCGGATGGGATCTCGCGTAGCTGCAAACGGTAGCGTTGAGAAACAAAGAAAACTTCCTACGGTATATTGCATCAATGATGGAAACCTCTAAGTAATATGCTGTGAGACTCCTCCTGCTATATCCAGCTAACAGGACTCATAGTGGATTGTGGTTTACAAAACTGGACACACCGTCTCATCACAATGATATCCGAAAATTCAAGCATTCGTGCCTATGAGATCCTTCGCGAGGATCGCGAAAAGATGGTGGACAACCACTCAAAGTTGATAATGTAGGAGAGCCCTCTAAAAGCTCTTTTACAAAAAGAGGTGCCCATTAAGAATGTACATCTTGCGATTCCTGTTCGGATTTGCCATGGGAAGCAAACGCTAGCAGGCTTTCCAAACCGTTGTTGATAGAGCCTTGTCGGTCTAAAGTAGGCTCGTGGAGGAGCAGAAAGCGCAGATAAACTGACCCCCATCAAACCATCTTTCGGCATGAGTTTTGCACCTACAAAGGGAGAGTCATGGTAAAAAGTACATGGTTTCCGAACATGTCTTTCGCAATTCAAACAGAAACACTGGAATCATGAAACATCTTCAGGTCTTTTACCACTGATTTCTCGGAACCGCTGCTGGTGTTGGAAGGCAGTTGGGGAAAAAGCGTTTTGCTGCACCCACTAACCATGTCCTACACATATCAAATCAAGCGCTACCGAAACGAGTGATATTCTTTCATGCATCCTTGAGAGTGACATAAACCGTAAGATGGATGACGCGAGAGTTACCAGAGGGTTACGAAGATTACGAGACCTTTGAGTGTTGTTGGTGCAGTCCATCTTCCAGGGTGTGGTCTCTGTGACCGTCTATTCACTTGGCTGGAGATTTTGGGAGGCTAGTCCACCAACCGATGTCAGGAGCGTTTGTGCTGTCAGTTTCTGCCCAGATGGGGGCGAAATGGCCCAAGTGGTTAGGGCGCGAATTTACTGACGGAAGGGCCGATAAACCGTAAGATGGATGACGCGAGAGTTACCAGAGGGTTACGAAGATTACGAGACCTTTGAGTGTTGTTGGTGCAGTCCATCTTCCAGGGTGTGGTCTCTGTGATCGTCTATTCACTTGGCTGGAGATTTTGGGAGGCTAGTCCACCAACCGATGTCAGGAGCGTTTGTGCTGTCAGTTTCTGCCCAGATGGGGGCGAAATGGCCCAAGTGGTTAGGGCGCGAATTTACTGACCGGAAGGTCCGTAGTTCGAACCCGACCTCTGCCTCTCGACTTCCCCTGTCTAGGCTTGGGCAACCTGGCAGTATCCCAGCCGTCGTGCGACCTTCCGATGGCATGACAGTTAGGCTCTGAATGGATGTTCCAGCTGAACGAACATTTTCCGTCCAGATGGTCTGAGTGAGCATTTAAAGGTGGAAGCAGTGCAGAATGACGGTGGCACACTGACACCCCCATCCATTCTCTTTTTGTTTTCACTTTGGTTTCTAAATTAAACATTCTGCTGTTGTATCGGTGTCAATAGTGACGTCGCCATTATAACTCAAAACTGCCTATTGATCGTTAGATTTGTAGGTAACCAAACGGTAATGTTCTGTGCTCGAGGCGTCTACAAGCAGTATGAACAAATGTAACTAAACCAGACCACTAAACTCCCTCATCTCACCTCCGACTGTATGCACAGAAACGTTTACCAATTGCATATACCAAGCGTATGCTGAAGTTCCGCTCTATTTTCCACGCCGAGGAAAATGTTTTTTCCGATTTATCCACTTGGTGGCCCTATTCGAATGTTTGAGAAATTTCCTGCTCTAACTGAGATCTGGAACGGACGTCCATATAAATACTAACGAGACTACAGAGGTTGTTCAACAAACGCCATAGAATCCACTACTTACTGAACGTAGGAGATAGGTGGCCAGATCATGCAGCTGTTTCACTCCATACACCTTCCGGGCGCTGTCGTAAAGTAATGACAACACCGCACCGCCAGTGCATCCTCCGGTTTCAATGTCCGTGGCGACGCGAGCAAGCTGGGAAAACATGGTTGCTGTATCCTAGGTGAACAAGAAGAGAAATTATAATAAATTAGCAAGTATAGATGCTACATAAATGCAGTCCAATAATAAAAAAAACACCACATTGACAAGTCAATGGCTTTAAATTGAGATATCATACTGTAAGTGAAGCCCATGTATACTCGAGAGCCAAGAAGCACTGCAGATCTTCTTTACCCTTATTGGGAATCATCAGCAATGTATATCGAGTGAAACTCCCGGGAAGTCTCGAACCTGCGACCTCCACGCTAGTAGCTTGAATAGGTAACCTTTAGGTTGTGAACAGCTGATCAGCTCGCACTTGGACACAATACAGCGCCGCCCATCCTTCAACCATGGAATCCACATCACGTGGTCACGCGTGTTAACTGGCTCGTCAAGTGATGACTTAACAGATGGAAGCTGCACTCATTTCGCGAAGTTGTACTCCTCAGTTTCATCCCCTTGGTGTGACCGCTATGGGAGGTCGAGTGAGCCACCGTGGAGTCCTTCGTGATGACGGCGAGAGAACAGGACCGCCAGGGGTTCTGTACTAGGTTCCTAACACTAACGGACCTCCCTTAGCCCAGAAATTACCAGTAACAAGGCTCTGGTGACCAAGATTGGGAGTGCGTTGCATATGGTGACGGTATTCCACTGGAAAACCGTTTTATGCTGGTCCGTACATTGACTCCAAAAGTGTTAGAACAGCTAAACGCTGTGTTTTCGAGTTGTCATCACGAGCTGCATGTTTACTGCCCCTTGCTGGATGCGAAAGCGATGGTACAAAAAGGTCACCGAACAGGTGATTTGTGTCTGGACACCGAACACTTATATGCGCCATTCTGATCAATTACCGCAAGCGACTGCAGCCAGTGTGTTCACTTACCTGAAGGCAAAACTGTAACCGAGCTAATCCAAGTCTTCCAGCTCGATACTCATTCTCCAGCTGGCACAGTAGGATAAAGTAGTCCTTGAGCAGCCGTCGCATAGCTCCGGACAAGGCATGGTTGACCAGACCCTGTTCATATGCAGATTTTTCTGCAGTGGGAAATGGGAAAGCAGCGACACAAAAATCAGTTGGGTGGAGCACGGAATATCTATCTCTAAATAAGGAATGAATCGTCAGCGCCAAAGAATAGAGTGCAGATGAGAAAAACGTACCATCAATGAATCGAACAACAGCTGAGTAATCGGCGCAGATTGGCAAAATCTTGTTTGCTGTGTCCATTAGCATTGGGGCTGTGAAACGAAGGAAACGAAGAGTTTTGACATGACGGAGGGATGATTTTATTTGTTGTAAACGCACCACATGACTCACAGGACTCGACTCAGTCAGGATAAAGTTATGGGTAAAAAAAGCGTATATGTCACTTGTCCAGGTTCGGACAACAGAATGCGATTGATATGCGCAACGCCAAACACCAAAAGGACGTCAATACTTTCATCATCACCGACAGCATGACATCAGTGTCCAACACCGATGCTTCACTGCCGTACAACCATGATTTATTTGAAAGCCTTAGTGTAAAGAAAAGAGTAAAGGTGGATTGGGGAGGGGTTTAGTGCTAGCTTAACACGATCATTCCGAGGTGCCTACACTTCCAGACATTCACTCAGGCAATCTGGATAGAAACTGACAACAAGAACGCCACTGACATCGGTTGGCAGCCATATCTTAGAACCGTATATACTGTCAATTTTTGTCACGTTTCTTTGTAGCTTAGTTCGTGTTGTATACTGCGAATGTATTGCAGGGCTGGATGACCAAATACTCCTTAATTTTCTCCCTTAGTCACGAAGAGACTGGACCTTACCGTGATGTGACGGTTTGCGCACCCGCGACACTCACAGAGTCTCTCATACCAGGTTGATCAATGGTTAGAGGTCTGACGAACACAGTATCCTGGCCCTCCAGGTTGGTGTGTGGAACATGTGGCGACTTGTTCCGTAGAAATGGTAGTGCATTTGCATTTCCCGCCGAACACCGCTGCCTTGCAGTTAGGCTTTTGAGCCAAAGGCTTTGGTTGAGGACCCTAATCGTCCTCCTGTCCAGGTGTGGGCGCCCTGACAGTGTCCCAGCCCACGTACAACTATGAACTGCACATACACGTCAATACTTTACTGGATTCCGAACGCGTGGACTGAAATCTCAACAGTCTTTAACTTGCCAACCTTTTCACCACATGCAGTCTCGTAATGTGTAAAAATACTGAGATGGAGGAACGGAGGGGGACATCTGAGTGGGAACTGTCAGAATGCACGTTTCATAAAGTGGTTATGTCCGTGGGAATATTTTTAGACGTCAACCAAACCGGTTATGCTGCTTTGTGATGGAGTCAAAAGACCGAATGATTCGTGGTCGAATACACCGAGCATTGAGCGGAAGTAATGAACTGCGATGAAAAAATCAGCTACCTTCATTTCAGTGATCAGTAGAACAATATGCAATGATTCTAGACACTGTATCGCCTCTAAACATTCGAATAAAACAGAAAGAAAAAAATGTGTAAGAAGGAACTATTCCACACAGTCCGAAAAAGCAACAAACAAACGCTATCACAAGCATTGCATAATGTTGGACGAAGTTCACAGAATCGCAAAGACCAAGGTAAGCGTAACGTGATCATCCAACAATGCTGAGCTCTGATCGGAGGCATGTAGAGCCCCAACGAACTGATATGTTAACGGTAGGTTGCACTGCATCGAAACACAAAACGTTGGGTTAATATTCATGGTAATCTATACAACTATCATAGCTATTCAGTCGCGAAAAGTGCAGTGCAGTTCAGTTCAGTTCATCAGCTATTAACGATGTAATAAAGGTACATTGGTTCCTGCCGCTTCAGTTTCCGCTAACGAAAAATGGAAGAACAAAAAAGATACAGCCGAATATCGATGATGGCATGAACAGTTAGTTCATATTAAATCAGCCTAATTGTTCGAGGAGACGGGGCTCGAGATAGCTCAGTGGTTAAGGCGCCAGCTTTGGATCGGAAGGTCCGTGGATCGAACCCAAACTCAGCGTCTCGACTTCTCCTGTCTAGACTTGGGCAACCTGGAAGTACCCCAGCCCTCGTGTCGATTTTTATCGAGGAAACAGGAAACTGGGCAGCTATTCACTAAACGCGATAACTTTGATGTAGAAGCGTCACTGACTGCGCGGCAGCTATCAGCTTGATAGTGATTGGTGCTTTCATAATTCCTTGTCAGATCATAGACTGTCCATCTATCGATCACTTCCATCCAGCGCAGAGCTGTGTGAGAAGAGATCTGCGAGGTAGGCGGTTCTCGGAAATGTGGAATATGTGACCTAACCACAGAAAACTACATACAATGCCCTGATAAGAGATAAAAATCAAGAAGGGATAACTTTGAGCATCAGATACTGTCAAAATTCATGAACGGACTCAAAACTAGCATTCACACCAAGAAAAAAAACAGCTTTGTACGTTTGAAGAAGGGTACTGTTCGAAAACCCGTCTAAGAGTAAATGTGGTCGGTGTCCCTTCGGCCAGCTCGATTTTCAGTGATATATCTCTCTTGATAAACGATCAACCTGCGCAAAATAACGTCACAGAGCACTTCGGATGATACGAATATCAGGTTGATGCACCAAAAGCTTTCGCATGATGTTTTTGTGCCATTTTGAGGATTCGGATTATGAGTAAAGCGTTCTATTCCACCGACATTCTGTTCTCGTCACAAAAAAACCGTAGCAGGATAGTCAGACTGCTCACCAGGGCTTCACTACCTTCTTTGAAAAGTGTGGGGTAGAGAAAACCCGGATCAGCTGCCTTACCACATCAAAGGCTTATGCTGCTGACGGCTGCTACGACAGGCTGGTTTCAATGTTTCTTTCAGGCCCGTTGGGTTTTTCGAGTGGTGAAGAAAGCCAGCTGAACTGTTCTTCAGTGTTCGGGCCATTGTTCGAGATGGTGATTCTGTGGACGAATTGTCGCTACACCTTATTCGCAAGCTGTTCGATAACGCCTATCTTCTTTTGGCGAGTTGATCGCTCACCAGGATGATAAAAAATCCGTTTTTCTTGCTGAATGAGGCAGTCGTAGCAGACCTCGGTGAAATCCATCTTTCTCAGTTTCATAAACGCAGCCTATCGGGGTGTACGCTGAGACGAGAAATATACACCGTTTATTGCATCGACCCGTAGTAATTCTAATTGGACCAGACAACTGTACAGCGCAAAGGCAACTGTTTACTGGGACCCTGCCCAGTAAAGCACTTCCGGCCTTGGGACCGATTATCACTACGTGCAACTTCCACACCGTAGATACCACGAGCCACTGCGTCGGGCACACCAGATACCCGAAGAGTGAAATGTGGGGCAGTTGAGCTCATTTTAAGCGACTTCAGGTACACGATCAAAGTGGGGTGCCGTATCGTGTTTTGGAAATCAAGGTTTCAGCAAGAGAAGCCTGTTACCCAATTCGACAGATGATACGAACATTGAAGGCCGCAATGCGGATCAGATTGCTGGATCTTAGTAAGGGATTATTTTAGTTCATTTTATTGGACGACAGTTTGGAGACGGAAAACTGATCAGGAACCTGACGGGTGGACTGACTGTAGTGGACCACTTGAAGAGTACGGATGGGGTGTGGATGGAAGAGCTGCAAAAACCAGTGACGCTCTCAAGTTCTCAGGCCATGGAGGGGGGTTTGTTTGGAATGCCCCACCCGGAGCGTTCGACGTAGAAATCTCACTTACAAGGAACTGGGATGCACGGTTCTCCTGGAAAGTTCCGGGGCCTCAGTGGTCTGATCCGCTTGGCTGCGGATCAGAGCATAAAGGGTGAAACCTGGATGTGTCGATTGAGATGTTATTGCGCATAGCAGATGCGTTTGGAGCCGCACCGAGTTCTTGGTAGGTTATAAATGCATTTCGACTGCACTGGATAATTCACTGGCGGTTATGGTCAACCATTAGGCTACAGGAGTGTAGTCTTTAGGACTGGTCTTTCCTCGAGTGAAAAGGGCATCGCTGCTTCCATAAATATAGAATGCTGATAACACCGAGTTCTTGGTAGGTTATAAATGCATTTCGACTGCACTGGATAATTCACTGGCGGTTATGGTCAACCATTAGGCTACAGGAGTGTAGTCTTTAGGACTGGTCTTTCCTCGAGTGAAAAGGGCATCGCTGCTTCCATAAATATAGACATGCTGATAATCTAGAAGAAACATCTTATGCTTTCATATTTCCATCCAGACGGTTAATCACAGTGCGGGGCTGGTTGCTCACCAATGGCCTTCTTGGCATAAGCGCACCTTGAGAAACTGAATTTTAGCCAATGTAGCCCGCGGAATCGTTGCAGCACTCGAGTCCGAGAATTACGACAAGGCAACAACTGTTGGCTACTTGACTTTGAACGGCTGCGAGCCTTCCTGGACGCAGTTAATGCTGATAATAAGGAATCTACTCTGGAAGATGAGCGGAGAAATTGAGAAAATGGCTACAATTTGAAACCACATTGACAATTTGTTCTCCGCCGGATATCGTATCCGTGTAGTGGCGAAAGCCGAGCAACCTCATGTGGCCTGCATGTCAAAGAACGGTACATTCTTGTATGACAATAGGAAATGAGTAGTTCGCGGTCCTACGGGGGACCACACTGAGCAGATCGAGTCGCGTAAGTTAGTGCTCTCATCTAAGAATAAGTTCGACGGGCAACTTACACATGTTTTCATCCAAGTGAAAAGTTCTGATACGAGACCGAACGTCAAACGGGGTGGGCTGAATATAGATGCCTCTGTTCCCCTGGGGAAAAAAGGAAAGAAATCAATTCAGCAGTCTGAACAACTAATGATTGCTTCATCAGACAAGCTGGTAGAATTTTCTGCAAGAGTGCAGCTCACGATGTTGTTAGATGGATGGGCAGTGATTATAAGCTGGTTACTGAGGAATAATGCAATAAGACATAAAACAGCAATTTCGGGGCCCGCGTAGGAAGACGACCACAAAACAGCAGTCCCCTGAGGAACCCCATTCAGGGAACTCCAAAGTGTCTCTTTGTGTATTTCTTTGTGGGAAGGGTGACGGATAGGAACCACACACCGCGCTTCCGGCAGTCGAATCAAGGGCTTTAACAGTTCTGGTGGGCGTGTGATGAAGTTTTCCACATTGTCCCAAGTGAATGCTCCAAGCGTTCAGTACTATAGGCTCAGACAACAAAGTGAACCTGTCTGATATTCGTCAGTCCTAGCCATCTGGGTGATTAGGAACCAGCAACTCTGGTATCAACTAACTGGATTCGAACATAAACACAGACGACTTAATCTGCCACGAAGACTGCTCCCACAACAAATGGAGCAAAACTATTGGACCACTGTGGACTGGTGAATAATTGTACGTTGTTATTCGGTATCGTAAACCTGATCCATTCAGAAGAATGGTGCTGCATCCAAAGTTAGATTGTTAGCCCAGCTGATGCAGTATCTGTCCAAAGTGGTCTGATTACAAATCTGGGTCAATGACATTTTCTTGGAGTGATAAAACAGTTGACGGAATCAAAAAGCTTCTTTGATTCGAGGAGTTCTGTTTCCCCCAAGGTAGGAGAGGAGTCGCGATGTAAGAATTCCGTCGGTGCCATCATCCACTTGATGAGAATATCTCTTCTTGAGTGACCCTCTCTAAAATGTACAGCATTTGGTAGGCTGCCTATGCAGAGACTTTGGTGCACATGATTCAACGGATTGGCCTCGAATCCACACGTGATTGTAGATAGTAACTGTGGCTCTGAAAGATTGGCTTGTTGCAAACTGACGGACTCAGATTCATGTGCGTCATATCGATACACAATTTTGGGGCTCGGTTTGATCTAACAACCTATCCGAATGCGAACAGTGATAGCTTCTTACAGGCTTGGAGATCATCACTTTGTATGGACCCACGGTGTCTACTGATCGTTCAGCTGTAGCATCCTTTCAGTGCCTAACTGCCATGCCACCCGAAGGTTGCATGAAGGCTGGGATACTGCCAGGTTGCCCAAGCCAAGACAGGGGAGTTGAGAGGCAGAGGTCGGGTTGGAACCACGGACCTTCCGGTCAGTAAATTCGCGCTCTAACCACTTGGGCCATCTCGCCCAATTATTTACGATGATAAACAATCGCACTAATCAATAGAATAGGGTTATGTATAAATGGTTTCACAATAAAACGGCCATTTCCCTAATCACCGTCAAATCAAGATTTGACAAGACCTACACAAGCACGATGCCATTCAACGCCTACACACGGACGAACGGCCAACTTATTACACCATGTAAAGTCACCTCGGCTGGTAACGGAACATCTGCAAGCGAATCGCTCAGATCAGCGAACGGAACAACGGTCATTTATACAACCTGAGCTATTGCCTTCAATGCATAGCTCTCTTCCCAGTTCCCCCCCCCCACTACCAGTCCTGGATTTGCGCACCAATCTATCAGCTCCCGCCTCCAATGCGTAGCAACCTACTCCACTTCCCGAAATCACCGGTGAACAAAACCGGTGAACTACACCCACTGTACGAGAAGTACGCGGTTCTTACAGCTGAAACTGATGATGACTGACACTCGCTTCTATAGCATTATCATATGGTGTTACTAGTATTATTATTATGCTACCTTATTGGTCAGCGCCCAGAAACTAGTCTGCTTTTGACGATAGCAAACCACTGCCTTATTCGTTGACTCTTTCCTTAAAAACTGATCCGAGCTCGGGACAAAGAAATATGTCGATAAACGATCAAAAGGTCCAAGGTATGTTGTCCACAAGTGCCAAGTGCGTATTGAGGAAACACTCATCCAGAGTGGAAACGTGAAGCTACATTTCGGGTATGTCGATGACATCTGTATAAGCTATTTGAGGATTTCTTGGAAGGGTAGTTAAGACCTCAATCAATTAAATTTTCCAAAAATCTGAAAGAACTAGCCCGAGATAGCTCAGTGCGCTCAGGCGCTTACTGACTCTAAGGTCTGCGGTTTGAACGCAATCCCGGCATCCCGACTGCTCCTATCCAGGCTTGGGCAGCTTAACAGTATCTCATCCGCCGTGCTTTCTTCGGGTGACATACCAGCTAGACACCAAAAGAATATTACAACTGAACGACCATTACTTAAGAAACATGAAATGCTTTTGAAGCAGACTTCAAAGTTATCAACTAACCTGCAGCAATCGAAGCAAGTCGCCGACAATCGCATATTCCTGTGCGTCTGCCGACAAAGAATTTATGGGTGTTTTGGGATCCATCTGTGGGGGAAACAAACGAAAAGTGATGTTTATAGATTACAAATTCCAATACCGGTGGAAGAGTCGAACCAGTTACCCTGGCCCTTCGGGTTGTGGAAAAATACTAAAAAGCTTGATAGTCTTTAAGAAGGACGTAGTCTACGGAAATTCAACACCATCAGGCCAATAGATCGGACATGGGTGTTGAATGTACTTTGCTCGATTAACAAGCAATATCTGCATTCATCCACCCATCCATCCACCCATCATCATTAAAGACAGCAACACTGATGCTTCACTGTCGTACAACCATAAGTTTCGTCTTACTATATTTAAAGCCCTAGAGTGAAAAGAAGAGAAGAGCGGGTGTGAGAGAGGGGCTGGTGCTGGTCTATGTTAAGCAATCTGAGATGTCTACACCTCCAGACGCTCAATCAGACAATCTGGAAAGAAAGCAAGAACGCCACTGACATCGACTAGGCGCCATTTCTTGCAACATCTCCAGCCAAGCACAGGTGGGGTCACGAGGACCCCATCCAACACCAACAACACCCAAACTCTTCGTGATATCTTTCCCGCCCTTCTGCCAAGTCATGCGGTGTCCACCTCGCAGTTCGCGCCATTCTGAAGGAGGCACGGAGAACAACACTCGTCTCGGTAGACAGTGTTTCGGCATGCGTAGCACATGATCGAGCCATTGTAGTCGATGATGCTAGATGTTTTACCGGATTGAGGTGCAGGCAGCACAACCAAATACCCGTTTTATAATCACCCCGTTAATAACACGCTGACGCCATTCAAAACCTGCCACGCCTCTGAGGCATCGGTAGTCGAAAACCTGAAGACGCCTCACATCACCTGTCAGCAGAGTCTGTCTCGCACCCATACCCTTACTCTAGCCTGGTACACGCGACTCATAAGATCTAGTGATAAGCCTGTTCGACGCCACAAGTGACGCAAATCAGCAAACGTGATTCGAGCCTTTGAGATTCTTGCACTGAACTCATGAGGCGCATTCCAACAGAGCTAATATAGCTACCGAGGTATGTAAAAATTTCACATAATTTCCAGTGAATCAACTTGATATTTGCATTCACATGCAGAACAAATGCAGTAGTCTCCTGCCGAAATTAATCTGATTAGTCCATACCAAAAAGGGGAACTACTGGACTCGAGTTCATTACTCATTAGAGCTCATCAGTGCCGTGTATTTTCGGCGGCATCGGAACCCGAACTCCTGCCGCCTAACATTCGAGACGGGAGAGTTACCACCGCTTGAGTCCAAATACGAGTACGGTAAGGAATGTGTACAGTTTATTGACGCAGATAGAAGGGAAACTGTAGTTCGATGTGAGCTAAACAGAGTAATCTCACCAGAGCAGTTTCAGAGGGGGGTGAAGTGGATAGGAAATTCAGGACAGTCCATCGGGTAGATAGAAAGAAACAGACGTGATTTTTCTGCGTCCAAAGAGGGACGTATGCGATGGACATTCATCAACGTGATAGGCATACGGTTTTTGGTTATCATCGCATTCCTTCATTTCCGCAACTTCTTGGTCAATTTAAGCAAATAGGCACATACAGACTTGTGCCTCAGCAAGATATTCGGCTTCCGAAGTTCGATATTCGTGACTGCTTGAGTACCTACGACCACCGTTTCCACTGTAAAGGTAAATAACTGTGCCCGGCAGAGCACACGGTAAGTGGTATGACACGACAGCATTCTCCGACCCAGCAGCAATCAAAGGATTTGGAGTAAAATAGGAAATTCCACCAATTGGAAGTGAATCTTCCCCCAGATTGGCGCAGTTCAGGGTTTTGTTACCAACTGGGTGATCGTGCCACTGCTCAGAAGTATTTCTCATGCCACAAGCAACAACGACGGGAATACCGTCCATTTTGCCTTGACATTATGTACATGCTAATCCACCAATGCCGCCTGCATCCGTTCCGCACTGTTTCAGTCATTGTTGGATAGGAGAGTGCGGTGCGTTATCCGCTGCAAAAGAGTTTCGATGGACAATAATTCATACTTGCCATGCTCCTTGATAAGGAGACCGTTCTTTGTGGTGCGCTTAACTACGGGTAAAGGAGACAAACGCTCCTATCGATTAGGCTATTTCAAGAGTTACACAGACGAGTACAGTCTGACGCCCATGTGTTTTCTTTTCATGCTCACTGGAAACACTAATTACAGCTCCGCCTTAGGCCTACTTTCAACAACAAAAACAACAACAACAGCTTGATACGTAACCAGAATCTACCTGTTCTTCAAAAGGGATCTGCGCAATCAGCTCACACACGTTTCAAAAACGACCTACCTATTAAAGTGGTGGTGGTGGGGTTCGCAGACGTTTAATCGCCAATCGAGGTGACATTGTCAGTGCGGAGCAATAATGAACCTGAGCTACCTCTATTCCACGACATCGACAACACATTTCGTATTTTGAACACCCTTTCTCTTTTGAAAGACAGGCCAACTGTAAATCAAAGGAAAATGGCTGTTACTCACTTCAGTGTCCCTATCTGGCAAGAAATCGTTATACAAAGTAGCTCGATAAAGCAACCAATCCGGTTGGGTGGGACCAAGTCTGTTGGATCGAGCTGTCACAGGGCCTCGAGCTATAGAATTAGTGACGTGTGTCCGGCTCGAACGCATTGGTAATAGAGTACAAGAACTGGTGGTCCGCTGGCTTTGTGAAGCTGAGGGTGTATTGGGCATTATTGGGTAATCGTCGACAGAATTAAGCAGCGTAGTGCGCAAAGAACTGCGTTCAATGGTGTTTGATAGGAGATTGGATTCAGCCAAACGTTGCTGTAATTGGTTAAAATCCTAAGGAGCAGATGAAAGAGAAGAATGCGACATATACTGGACCGATGAGGTTAACGACCGAAACGGGGAACAAAACCGGAACTAAGTAGGATGATACAGAAGACTGACAGGAATCTTGTCTTAAAGTGTAAGTCTGTGAAAGTTGGAAATGGCGTTAACGACTGTGGATAGACCGCAGATGGAGGTATTATGGGCTAATAAGACAGCAATAGCAGTCGGAAACTGGAAATGGTTACCGAGAATAAAGACAGGAGACGCGACGAATCTGAAGTCTCGTCTCGGATGCCATCGGACTGGTAACCTCATCATTGTCTGCGAGAAACGTCACATCTTTATGCTTTGGGTGTGAACTCGGTGAAAGTCCCGGTTTATTCTCTTCTAGCACACGTAGCGTAGCAGTACAACCCCATCAGAACGACAATCGAACCATTGGAATACTCGCCCCACTCTGTCAAGTTACCCCGGAAAAGGTCTGTGATTGATCGATTTTCCTTTTTTTTAATCCAGCAGTATCCCAATTACAAACAAATTATCGGTAGTTTGTCCGGTGTATTCGGGTTAATTCGGTTAGCAAGGAAGCTCACTCCTGACTGCACGCCGCACGCCAGTCGACGAGCGACAGTGATGCTCATACCGCAACGGCAAAGTCGAGCATGCACCTGTCTACCCACTGATCTTATTGGATGTTCTGGTAAGCATCTGCGTCTAAAATATCCCTTGAGAGACCAATCTGCTAATAGTCCGGGGAACTGTAGCTCATCAGTGAAGGATGTCTTGGTCAGCACTGACGCAGTACACGAACAAGTGATGCTTCAGGTTAATTCCTAGTTCAATTGAATGGGACGCTATTGTTCAGGATAGGCTGGAACGTGTCTTGCAGGCTGCATCATCGGAAACGAGAGTCTCGAGCTACTCACAACTGAAAACGAACTGATGCACCGATAGCAAGCATCTTCTCGAGGATGCAAAATTAGTGAATAGATATGCAGCGTTCGGCAGGTTTACTTCAATAACAGACGTCACCTTGTAAGATTAGCATAACGACTCTCAAAGCTGACTCGTGCCTGTAATCAAACAGTTCGTTTCGCCGTTGAGTGGAACGACAAGTAACGTGAACAAGTGCCAATTACCTCTCTCAAGTAAACAAACCTACGGCGAAGGTTGGCGGAATAAAGTACAGCTTGCAGTATACATGTCATTCAATCTCTCATAAGCGACCGAAACCACTGTTGAAAATTCTTGTTATTCTGTGAAGCTACGGACTATTGTGTGCAATTTCTCTTTCGTTGGCCCACTGATCTGCTGCAATAAACATCCTCTGAAGAGACCACTCACGAGAAGAGGCCAGATGTCTATGTGTTGCGATGGCCTACGTGCTTGTGAGGGGGTTATCATCGATGACTTAGGTCCAACAACGCGGGTACCCCAAGTTCCTATGAGTGATAACAATAGGGCAGTTTGAGACAAAATCATCGTCGTAAACTGATGAAGGTCCATACTACTGGCCTTACACTCAAACAGTGAACAGCAGCTAACCTACGGACTGGAAGTTCAAAGGAACATCGATCCCAACGCTGAAGGCGATAATGTAGAATACATACCTGACAGCTAAGAGATACCTCCGTTGAATTTCGGTCAGTTGTTCTTCGATCTCCAAACTTGGTCGCGTAAGCGTGCTCCAGATTGGACATGAGGGTTTGGTCAGCCTTTACCCGAGAATACAAATAGATGAAGGGACCAAGCTCTCGAGCACTAGCATACCAATTAGAATGAACAAACAGGTATCTTACTTTCTCAACTTTAACTCCTCGAACTTCTGCGCCAGGACATCGGCCTGAGGGTTTTTATCGCACAACACCTCCATAGCAGATCGCAAGTTGATCTAACAATTTTAGAATCATTCTTCGGACAACTTACCTGACCTGCATTTAACGTTTCAATACTTTGTTCTAATTTGTTTGCGAATCCTAACATTCGGTTATCCGTAGTGGGATCGACACTAGAAGACACGTAATATTGTGTTGCAAAAGCATCATACCCAAAAAGAGTGGACAGCGCAAACACATGATGCCGAATGGCATTCTTGATATTGTCCGAACCTGACATGCCTTTGAATTGACACCACGCACTCAGAGGAAGGATGTTTCAGCGGGAAATAGGCAGATTCTGGTGCGGGATTTTAGGGGAACTGGGTTTTGATCCACAGTGGTAAGGTCACTGCAGCAAAAAAACGTTTGAACTCATGGAAGGACTAGTAGAAAGAAAAAAGGGTTATTCACTTGTTATCCAAACGTCTTGTGCAAGATGTAAACGGGTGAAAACGAGCCCCTGTGAAGCCTTTAGTGGATTTCAACTGGTAGTGAAATTTGTAAAAAAAAATGTCCAACTCAGGATCATACTCGTAGCTGTGTGAGCAAACGGTTGATAATCCATCTTGGGGGACTCAACTGTCGAACCACAGAGAGCTTCTATAGGTTGGGTGGTCATCCACCCACATGCCAGCTGCCTATAATCTAACGGGCAGTTTCGAATAAAAAAAGTCTCGGAGTTGATAAATCATAAAAGTTTTTTTTAAACACGAGGTTGCCTTGCATCGAATTCATGAAACTACTGAATGTTGAAACATTCAGCGTCCGAGTCTGTGATATAGTACAACTATCAAATTAAGTTATTCTTCGTGGGTAGACCAATCCAGCCAATGTCGCTCATTTACGTTAACAATCTGCTCGGCAGATTAGGAAGCATAGGCGGAACTAATACTCCAGAAGCTATCTATTTATTGGGGGTGGGGGCGAGCTGGCTCCGTGGTTAAAGCGGAAGGTCCGTAGTTCGAACCCGACCACTGCATCTCTTATCTAGGTTTGGGCAACCTGATATTATCCCAGCCCTCGCGCTTCCTTCGGGTGACATGGTAGCTAGGCAACCAATGGGTGTACAGCTCTGGATGAAACTCTGAACCGGTCTAAGAAATCGGGTCTGTCGCTCAACACTCAGAGGTGCTCAAATCAATAAGTTCACTCCTGGGATCGGACCAATATAACCAACTGGTTGTCTGGGATCACAAACGAGGAATATTGAAGGGCAGTGATGAATCGAAACCTCACACCGCTGGCGGCAACTACTTGTAAGGAGCGACAGTTGTGTCCAAACAGCCAGCCAAAAGTTATTCTTGTGCCCGGTTTCGACCAACAAGAATCCCACAGTAAACCTAGGATAACCCTTTTTCGACATTCTTCCACGAACGGCGAAGAAATGACTACCATCAGGTATCTAATCATGTAAAGGCGCTTCTGCTTGGTGGCTGAATAAAATACCTGCCACGCTTTTGCAACCACTCAATAGTTTGACCCACTTGGCTGCAGGGGACCGGCCTCACCCGAAGACGCAAGGAGTAAGGCTGTATTGTCTCATTCCTAATCCATTGGGCCGCACCAAACTCTCTGGTTTTAAAAGCATTGGTGTGCTGTGTATTGAAAACAAGAATTCAAGATGCAAACATAATGGTTGATCTAACCTCTCCATCACTGTGTACTCTCACCGCTACGTACCTTTGGCGATCCAGAGGCCGCTGAAGCAAAAGATGTAGGGGTAGGCATCGCCCTAAGTAACCGGGCGGAAGGGTGTCTGCTTGAATGGATACCTGTTGATCACCTCTGGCAGTCTGGCAACGTCCGTGGAAAATTCTCACGGATGCAATGTCGTCTTTGGCTAGACTATCAGTAATGATGCAGCTGCCCGTGTATGCAAATCTATCTACTGCCTCAGTCGGGTCATCCGCAAGCATAAGGTTGGGGTTCGAGTCCCCCGCTCTTGAAAATGCACTTTACATCTTGCAGGCATGCAGCAAGTGCTCAACCATGAGGCAGAATCACTTAGATTAATTAATGTCGTCTGCATTGGGATAGCATCAGATCTAAGAACTGCCCTCTGCTTACTCGATATATGTAAGCGAATATCCTAGGAACATTACGATTCCATAGGCACTCGAGGCAGGAATTGAATCTTCAATGATCGTATCGCTGAAAAAATTGAAGACGAAAGATGAAAAGGGACAGCCTTGTCTACCACTCGATATAGCGAACCCAAGCGGATGAGTCACCAGGGATTATCCGCCTTCTTTTTTTAAGAGGGTTGGATACAGACCATCCGGTCCCTGGCCCTTCTTGAGTTTCAGTGGGATTTCACGTGTTATTTCTACAGATGGGTGATAAAAGTTTATATTCTATTCATCCGAGTGCACAGTCTCCAACGTCTGTATTGAAGGAGGCCAGCTAGATAAGCTGGCAGTATCCTAGCCCTCGTGCTTCCTTCGGGAGACATCACAGCTGGGCATGGAGAGGGTGTTCCAGCTGAACGATTATTGCTATTGTTAGTCAATTGTATTAATTGGCACAGGGCATGGCTGTTCCAGGCAGTAAAATTTTTATCCAGCTCCTGAGCATTCGAAGTAGACCAAGGCCATCGATCTTTCCTTGCGCTCCTTAAAGTCTGAGGGATTCAAGTGCATCGTCGTACTCGATAGAAGGTGTCCCCGATAGCGTCAGAAGTGCACTCCGTTGGGGCATATGTCGACACTACAAATAAGCACTGTTTTATATCGAGTAACATTGAGATTGATTGACCTGGATAATCGGTCGGCGTAAAGACGACCGTTCACTGGAATCGAATCCTGCCAAGGGCGCTCAGATCTCAGGTAGTGTGCAACTTCCGCGTAGTCCTCGAAGCATCGCCTCTGGACAACTGGACACATCGAGAGTGAAATCTAAAAGATCTGAGTTCGTTCGTGGCGTTTTAGGATGCATGACCAGCTTGAGTCCTGTATACCTCTTTCAGATACATATACATATATTTTGAGGGAGTATAGGGTTTGGGCAAAGTATGTGTGCCGATCTGACGTACAATGCGGGCATTGAAAGATATGTATGATCCTACATATAAAGGATATTGTGGACTTAGCAGTGTTACTTTTTTTATTTTTTATAGAACGTATAAGACACATCCGTCAGATAACCGACAACCAAATCACCCAGTAACGTTTATTGCGTGGTTGGAAGGGGTTGTGGAGGGACATCGGTGGATAGAGGACCGTGCGGGGATTTGGTTGAGGTACCCCACCCTGAGCCTTTGACTCAAAAGTCAGGAGAAGGATTAGAGTTTTGTCCGGGGAACCTGTTCCTAGTCTCCAACCCGCGAGACAGCGGTCAGTAGGGTTTTCTTTGGGGACCTTACGCGGTATTGACAGTCAGACCTGCTCGGCTGCATCAGGTAGCCATAGCCCGAGGACGCAGGGAAAAAAGCACCATTGTCTGAATCTTAGTGCGGATGCGCACATCAGATGCTCTTCGTCTTTAAAAGTATTCCGACGTACTGAATAAAGCATAAGCGGTTACGGTCTAACGTTGGGCGATCGAAGTGTGCGGTTTAATAAACCAAACTTTTCTAAATCGTGCTCAGCGGTTAGAACAAGAATTTCCTGACCGGAATGTCCGTGGTTCTAACTCGATGGCAATGAAGCATCGGTATTGAACACTGATGTCATGTTGTCGATGATGATGATGACCAAATCGACACCTACCTCTCGAATTTCCCTGTCTACGTTTGGGCAACCTGGCAGTATCCCAGCCCTTGTGCGTCCTTTTGGAGACATGGCAGTTAGATGCCGAAAAGGTGCTACAGCTGAATTATTTATTTATTTTTAGAAAGACTATGGACACGCCGGGGGAACTACTCACTGCCTACACACCCCCATCGCTGAGGACAGTACAACCTTAGCTCCCAGACAATCTTACAATACGGCTACTCACAGTAAGAAGTCTCGCTGCTTTCCTTTGGCGTTCGTGGCATGATTCCACCTTGTGGGACGAAGTTTCAGATGGTGTAGTCCACGGGGTCATTGCAGCACTCAAGCCACACCAACACGTCTAAATTGCAGTGTTAGATCGGAGAAAGCTAAGAATGTACAAAGATTATTCCGCTGATCAGTGCGACCGAAACCGCCTATGAGTGGACTCATCGAGAATCAAAGTGGTGTGACCATCTTCATCGAAAAAGAAGTCGCAGCCACAGGGCTGGGCATTTTGGAAAACAATTCTCCATCTTGCCGATATATTCGGGGATGATGTCCACTTTTTAAAAGGAGACCAGGAATGGGTGCGGTAATCACAGGGGAATCAGCTTGACTCCAGTCGTAACGACACCCTTGGTGTCACTTTGTTGTGACTTGCTGTACGGTCGCGCAACTCTATGTCGGTCCTTTGCTTAAGCAAGGTCCTGCATGGAGTAGGAACTGCTCCACTTATTATGGTGTATAAAAAGGTACAGTGGATTCCGAAAACCCTTTACGAAGACCATGGAATGTCAACAAGGTCGAACTGGAATCTTCATGAGAGGACGAGTAGCGCTGAGCGGAAGATGCTCCATCCAGATTGGCTGACATTCGCGTCAATCAGGGCATGCGGTTCGTAGACTGCACGTCCAGTTGACGTGATGTTCGGATTTTAGGGGTGACTATACGAACCCAATCGCTAAATCCAGCATCCGTATTATGTATTTTGTGGATGTCCGGAGGCGAGCTATTCTAAAAAGCCGTCGATTGTGCGTCTTTGTTGAGAGCCGGCTATGGACCACACAGAGGCATGCACTGATTGACCAGAATAGCAGCCAATCAGGATCGAAGACTCACCAAGTCTCTTCTCTCACCATTACGAAGATTCTGTGGTGACCTTGTGGAAATCCCCGCGATAGCCCCACAAATACATTTGCGATCCAGAAAAGGCTATCCCTCGCCAACGTGACCTTTGACGTTCCGCGATGTATGGAACGTCTGGGTTGCCAAACCAGAGAAAAGCATTGCTCTCATCGACGGATGCGGGATACCAGTAGGTCAGTTATATTCACGGATTCACGGATTGATACACAGGGTCGAGGATATTGCCCAATCTTTCCGGATCGCTTTTGTTCTTGTCGGTCAGTGGCTGTTGTTCACCTGAAAGGCACAAGTGAAAAAGAGTGTAGCAATGCTCTTTATGTTCTCAGCGCGGGGCAGTATGCTTGCCAGCGCAAGGATTCGCATAAATAAGTGTCTAATAGTGCTTTAAACTGGGTTCTAGAAGGAGGGTGAACAACCGCCGCAGGAAGGTCATTCCTCGAACCTACTACCCGAAATGAGAAAAAATTTTGTCTGATGAATGTGTGTGCTCTGAGCTTGAAAATTTTCTTACCATGTCCCGCGCTGAGAACATAAAGAGCAGTGCTACACTCTTTTTCACTTGTGCCTTTCAGGTGAACAACAGCCACTGACCGACAAGAACAAAAGCGATCCGGAAAGATTGGGCAATATCCTCGACCCTGTGTATCAATCCGTGAATCCGTGAATATAACTGACCTACTGGTATCCCGCATCCGTCGATGAGAGCAATGCTTTTCTCTGGTTTGGCAACCCAGACGTTCCATACATCGCGGAACGTCAAAGGTCACGTTGGCGAGGGATAGCCTTTTCTGGATCGCAAATGTATTTGTGGGGCTATCGCGGGGATTTCCACAAGGTCACCACAGAATCTTCGTAATGGTGAGAGAAGAGACTTGGTGAGTCTTCGATCCTGATTGGCTGCTATTCTGGTCAATCAGTGCATGCCTCTGTGTGGTCCATAGCCGGCTCTCAACTGAGAAGAACAAGTTTGAGGAGACCCAGATGCCCAAATCCTTTTGGGCATCTATCCTCATGATGTTCTCTGGTCCCTTTTCACCATGCATAACAAAGGCATTCGCTGAGTCTCCCCCAAATGACATGTGGACGCACTTTTCATCATTCAGAGGAAGGGGCCGATCCAACGGCCACTGCTTGGCAGCGTCTACATCCATTTGGAAGGCACTGTCATTGGAACTCCAGGATTTCAAGTCGCCCGGAAAAAGTAGACATGGGCTCGCAAGGACATCTGGGATGTCGTTGACCTAGATCAGAAACTGCGCTGGTCCCAAGACGGAGCCTTGTGGAACTCCGATGGAGACCGGCGCTGGAGAAGAGTAGGTCGAGCCTATTCTCACTCGAAACGATCCCTGATCTGTCTGATAGGAACGACATGATCCAGCGAAGGATTTTTCCTCGAATTCGTAAGACTCGAGTTTGTGGAGCGGCGGGACGTGTGGTACCCTATCAAATGATTTTGAGAAGTCGAAAAATATGGCGTCCGATATGAGTCCTTTGTCTTTGGCTTGGGTCAAGCTGTCCATAAACACGAGCATGTTTGTCACGAAAAAGCGGTTTGGGAGAAATCCGTGTTGAGCTGGGGATATACGGTTGCTGGAAGTGAGGTGATGATAGATAGCTCGCTTCAGAATAATGTTCCATCACTTTGCACGGTACGCGAGTGAGGCTTATAGGCTTATAGCTGCCAAACGATAGTCGGTCACCAGTTTTGTAGATTGGTGCGACAATCGCTTCCTCCCAAGCAGAGGGAAGGCGTCCTTCTTCAAGTGACTGACGAAACACCAGGTGTAGATGATTTGCCAGTGTGGAGGACGTTTCTTTCGGGATCCTTGGATGGACCTCGTCGGGCCCCAACGCGCAGAATGGGTTGATTTGGTGCAAGGGCTGACGAATTTCCTCCACCGTGAAAGCCACGTCGGTTAGAGGCTGTTCGTAGTTCCGCCTTAACAAGAGTGGATGTAACGAATTCGCTGGGGCTGAGTACTGTTCGTAGTTCCGCCTTGACTAGGGTGGATATGAGGAAGACGCGTATTGTTCTCTGTAAACCTCAGATACCACTGTTGGGTCTTTCGTCGGTTTTCCATTTCTGTCCCCCAAGGAGAGCGCGGATGGCTTGTTTCTGCGGCGGTCTCATGTATTTGAACAAGACTTTTTTGTTTTTTTGAGCGAGGCGGCTTGTTTTCTTATGTTCCATTGGCGGATTTCTGATTTATAGCGGTTCCGCATTTTACGAAATGCCAGCTCATCTTCTGTATCCCGCGTAGTCAACTTTTTGAAAAAGCGTTGGGATTTTTTTTCCAGAAGTCGCCGAATCCTTTTTGGCAGCCTGCGGTCCATCCGAGTGCGTGCTGTTTTTTTTTGGGACGAGCGTCGCTTCAGCCTCGTGAA